TTTCTGTTGTGCAAAGTAATCAATTCGTGACCGATAAGGGCATATTTAAAATGTCTTGCTTTATTAATTTAATTGTCTTCAATTTAACCAGCGTTTGCGTCGACAAAACAAAACAATTTTTTACAATTTACAATTTTAAAATACCTCGGCCATTTGCCGACATAAAAATAAAAATTTGTGGTATATGTCCGTCGCCTATCATATATTGTTTTGTTCCGTATTTTTTCTATTTTGCAAACTCGACAAATTTGAGATGTGCTTGTAACATTGACTCCGTTCAATCGCAATGCTGACACTCCGATTATTTTTAAAGATAAAACCTCCTGAAAAATCCGTAAATCTGCTGTAAATTTTCATAGAGTAAAATTTATTTCAGTACAATAAAAATTGATGGATATACTTCGGATTAATTATCTTAGTTATATATCATCACAAACCGGGGAAAAATCGCGTTTGCAACCTTGTTTAATGATAACACGAAAATTTTCTACGACAATTTTAAAGTAATGGATAAAAGGCAAATCCCACCCACAATCAACCGTGTTTCGATTTTAGTGACGGTATGTTCCTAAACGGCGACCAAACATAATGTAGGCACACGAAATTTTGCGCTTTTGCGACGGTGTTTACGGTTTTATATTCAGTATTTTATAATGCCGCTTTTCAATCAAATTTAGATCGCGGTTTACTCCTTCTTTTGTCTTTAGAACCTCGCCACCGATGAACGTATAATAACTCACGAATTCACAATTCCGTGCAAAGTACAAAAATAAAATAATTATCATGTTTATCCTGGCACAAATTTATGATTTAGAAAGAATAAAAACCGACGTAAGGGCATTTACGGCCTAAATAACACGCTGATGAAAACATGGGCAATTTTAGCAGAAGGCAATTGCACGCTTTTTCAGTTTTCACATTTCCGTGCGGGTACAAAAATAAAATAATTATCATTGTTCCCGCGGCACAAATTTGTGATTTAAAGAGAATAAACACCAATGTAAAATGCGTTCACGGCATAAATAACATGCCGCGTTGATGAAAACGAACAGCGATTTTAGCAGAAGGCAATTGCACGTGTTATCGGCAACTTTTTCACTTTTCAGAAAATTCAAAATGGGGGGTTTCGACCCCGAAACCCCCCCCCCCCTGGCTGCGCCACTGCACGCACACACACACTCGCTTGTGAAAGTGGATTGTCTTATCATACAGCTGATGGCTTGTACAGTCTGTAATTGGTTGTTTAACACGTGACGCTTGTACAGGCTGTGATTGTTTGTTTTCGCTTGTGTTTCTTTTACATAACAGCAACTGTGTCGTTTTATGGCCAGTTGTTTCGTGGTGAAAACTTTATTATTTGGTGCACTATCGCCGTAGAGGCAATTAACAGCACGCGACTTTTAATCACCTTTACGATATGTTATCCGCTAAGGGGTGGTGATAAGGACTCTTATCGAAATTAACCGCATTGTGAACAATTAAAGGAAATTGTTTTATGCTGACTCAGGGACTCTCTTAAACTCCCGACAACAATCCCTTTCATTAATACAAATCACGACGCATGAAAAGCAATATATACTTTATTAACATAAATTAACAAGTAAGAGTTACGGGTAATAATCCACCTACGGCCCTTGCTAACATGCAGAAACGATAAACGTGAGAAATGTTTTCGTTACAGTAATTTTGTTCTTGTTCTTTTTCTTGAGGCCTCCGACGCGTAACGATTTGTAGGACCGGCTTATGTGCGATTTTTTTATAAAATTGTTGTTTTAAGGCCGTTTTAGGGAGTCGGCCTATTCTCGATATAGGCGTAATTTCGAGTAAATACGGTATATTATTACTGTATATGATCGCGTATAGGCCGAGTTTAAAACTCAAAAAAAAAAGTTGCCAAACTAAGGGACCGTCTTATACGCGCATGACTCAGATTGCACCAAAAAAATCGGCTCATTCACGTATCAGAATTTGATCACGCAACGAGATGATATTATGCTGACTTGCCGGTAATTCCAAAAGCTTCAAACCATACCAAGTTCTCATGATAAAACGCGTCGCGCGCACAAACACACACTCGCTTGTGAAAGTGGATTGATTATCCTACCTTAATTCCAACAGCTAAAACTCTTAACTGTCCTCACGATGAGAATGTGCAAGCACACATGTCACGCTGCACTTGGTACGCTATCAGTCTGTGATTGTCTTTCATACACATGATTGCTTGCATGTTTGTAGGGTCGTATATGCAAATTTTTGTGAATTTACAGTCTTAGGCGGTTGGCCTCTATGCGAGAATATACAGCAACTAATTATTTGCTTCAGACTAATGTAACCAGATTTTGTCTATTTCCTTCTTTAATCAATGATTCATTTCCAATGATCATTTCATTCTGTTATTGATTCCATAACTTTCATTGATATTTTCTTTAACATGACGTGCTTCATTTTTTCTGAGACTAATCAGAGTAACTTTTCAGTTTGCAAATAAAATTTGGACCTCCTAAAGTATGTGCACCCAGATGGCTCAGGTTGTGCACCAGGTTAGGGTTCAGGTTATGCGACATTTTGGTGCACATACTTCAGGAGTACCTAAAATTTCTGCTTTGAAATGCTTTCTCAATGCGATATCGGATTCCTCATCCATTACATTGTAGCAGAGATGAACAAAATAATTTGTGTATAGTAAACCACTGTCTCTTGTACGATAACCAGTCTATAGTTTACCTGGGAAGAGGAAAGATGATAATCAGATCTAATCAGACAATGAACAATAGTCCTCTATTCATAGATAAATTCAAGTTTTTTCCTCCGGACCGGAAAAGTTCGAAATAATTTGATTATTTATAAACTGCATTAATAACGAAACTTGGGTATATTAATGAAACTGAGTGAGTTATTAAATTCTTGATTTTAGGAACATTTTTATTTAAAGGTTAGACTATTTATTTTAGCCAAATTACGGTAACAGTCAGAAAAAAAAAATGGTTTCATTTAATTTTTAAACCTGTCAAAAATAAAATCTAAACATTGTAAAACAATCTGGATTTTATTGGTGAGTAAAATCAGGGTGTCATAAATTGGGTACGCAATGCTGAAACAGAAAGATTCCAATCCTCCGTAAATAGTAGTTCCAACATACCGTTAGACTATTTTTCGGAATAGCACTTGCTTCAAGTGATTTTGTTGAGGTGTGGAATTCCCCATCCATCTGTTGGTCTTGTTACTTTTAATATAAACTCCACTAATTAGTAAGCGGTGTTAGTTGGATAACTCATACGGTACTTACCGTCAATATCAGTTTCAAAACTCTAGATTTATGACTTTTGAATTAGATATTTGAACCCCAGGGGTGATTCTCCGATATCCAGCTTTGGTTCCTCGCGACTTCCCTTTTCCAGTAAAACTGTAATTATCATTTTTTCCCAATTTGTGCTTACGTATTATTTTTGACTGGTTGGAAAAATAAACTTAAGTTGACTAGATATAAGTGAAAGCTTTACAGGGCCTTGTTCAGAATCAAATGTGTGAGTGGGCATCATTCAAAATACGTCTGATAAAACAGCGTTTCTCAAACTATTTTTTTGTCCCGGAACACCTATGCTTATTATCTCGCCTCGCGGAACACCAAGAAATTAGTAGGTCAAATTGATGTCAAAAAATTTTGTAATGGGTTCACTTTGTGCATCAACTTGCACAACCGGCCTATCAGGATGCGCCAAAGTATGGCCGAGATCGCCATAGTAACCAATTTGGTTGCAATTTTGATCGCTGTCCTGTGGAACACTCTGCGAAACGCTGTGTTGGACTATTCGCAAGTCTGAAGTTTAAGATTAAAACTTTTACTTCCAAAATGTATAGAGTGAAATATAGTCTTGTGTCATCACTTTTGAATTTGTCCATTCCTTGATATTATTCGCTGTGAAATGTTGGTCACTCCTCTCTGTTGTGGAGATGATCCCAATGCTAATATTAGCATTTGGTTGTATTAGGGGCATGCCATTGTTTAGTGAGATGCTGGTGTAAGATAAAGCTTATTGCTTGGTGTTTGATGAAAATGGATTGGTAGAATAAAATATATCTGATGGCGCTTCATAATTAAAATGATTTTTCAATAATAAATTAATATCAGGATGTGTGTTTTTTTCGGGCTTGATCATGGAAGAGGCGGGACAATCAATTGGTAATTTACAGAGTATATCATTCAGGGAACCGCAACAAAATTTGGTAACGTTTATATTATCTAGGGCAGGGCTACTCTACTGGCGGACTGCAGTCCGAATCCAAACCTTTCGAGTATTTGATGGACTGCACCTAATTCTTTATTTTGGATCATTAGCTCCACTTTTGAAGTTTCTTTTTATAAAATGACATTTATAGTTTTGAATATATATGTAAAAAACTATAATACCATAATAAACAATCTCGATTAGCTAATAATCATTCGCCGGCCGAAGAAGTGCTCGTTTAAGGATGCCAAAATATAATTTCTGAGAAGACCGGACCTAAATATTTTTGAAGGTTTGTATGGATCTTGGATAGGTTGATCTTCGGTAAAAATAGTTGAGTAGCCCTGATCTAGGGAATGCCAAAAACAATTGGAATAGCATTCGAAATTAGTTACATTCAGTATTTCAGGAGTAAATTGTAAGGATTATTTGAAAGTTTTTTTTCAGAAAAATAGACTTTTGGAAATCACATTCCAAGCAGTATATTAAATTTCTTGCTATGGAGAATGACTTCTGAACAATCCACAATTTTGAATTTTAGTACAGAGATTAATTAGGCTCTTCGCTGTCAGACTATATTTTGCTAACCATAAACACTTACCTACATTGGTTAACACGATTATGAAAAGCAATATGTAATGCTATCTTGTTGGAATATGCTGTTTTCAATCTCCAACGCATATTTTTGAATTTTGTTGAAATTGAATTGATTATAAAAATTTCTGACTGATAATTTATTGATAGATTTATTCTCTGTGAAATTGGATAAATTTTACATGGATAAAACAATGAATTCATTCTTATGAATTTAGCAATAGGTGTAAAATTCATTTTTATAAGTGAAAACACAATTTTGCACGATGCCTATATATAATACTAAGGAAGATTGTAAACTGATCGATCATTTATTGTTGATTCACGGAAAACCGGAACATGGTTACGGACACGGGATGGCGATGTATCGCCAAGTCGCAAACGCATTCAATGCAACGACGAAAGGAGGTAAAAGAACGGCTCAGCAAATCAGAAATTACGCCTCAAATTTGAGACGCAAGAATCGCAGTTTGGCAGTAAAATCGGAAGAAAAAATGAAAATGGCAAAAAGAATAAAACAACGTCGTCGTTCGATAGGAGATTCTCGGCCGTCTTCAGAAAGCCAGTCGTCGTCATTCATAGATTCTCAAACGACTTCACTTCTTCAAATTCAGAGCTCTGCTGACATCGTGTGCAAGAATGTTAGATGTAAGAACTCTATCATTTTCAAAAGTAGAAGAAATTTAGCCTAATTGCATGAAACCTGTCGCCCCTTTCTGCACTAAAGTCCCCATCTCTTCCAACTATTTTGAACAGAACTCCATCTGTTGCAGGCAACCAACCACTGAAGGGCGGAGGCATATTTAACAACATAAAATTTATTTCAGCCACAGAAACAGAAAAAATATTAGTTTTCGGGGAGGAAGGGGGAAAATGCATAAATATCCTAGAATAATATTTACAGTTATATTAAATCATAAAACAAATAAAATCTTAAATTTTTTCGTTGATTAAATTCTGCTATGACACCTTTTATATTTGCATTTTCACACCATTTTGTTGAATTTTTTGTATTTGTTGATTATCGCAAACCTGGCAACATTAAATTCGATTTTAGCTCATGCAACAATGAACCGTAATGCACCACAATAATTCTATAAAGTTTCAATGGTGGCTCATAACTTTGCTCAGGGACGAGTCTTGTTTAATTATGAGTGAGTGCCCTTAACTTTACTCAGAGATGAGTCTTCATTACTTCTGAGTGAGTGCCCATAACTTTGCTCAGAGATGAGTCTCCTTTACGCCTGAGTGAGTGCCTGTAACTTTACTCAGAGATGAGTCTTCATTACTTCTGAGTGAGTGCCCGTAACTTTGTTCAGGGATGAGTCTCCCTTAGAGTTGGATGAGTGCATGTAACTTTGCTCAGAAGTGAGTGTCCGTAACTTTGCTCAGAGATGAGTGTTCTTTGCTTCTGAGTGAGCGTTCATAACTTTTCTCAGAGATGAGTCGTTTAATTTTCAGTGAGTGCCTGTAACTTTGCACTGAGATGAGGTTCCGTTAATTCTGAGTTAGTGCCTGTAACTTTGCTCAGAGATGAGTATCCTTTACTTCTTAGTGAGTGACTTAACTTTGTTTGCAGATGTCTCCTTTACTTGGGAGTGAGTGTCCGTAACATTGCTCAGAGATGAGTCTCCTTTACGCCTGAGTGAGTGCCTGTAACTTTACTCAGAGATGAGTCTTCATTACTTCTGAGTGAGTGCCCATAACTTTGTTCAGGGATGAGTCTCCCTTAGTTCTGGATGAGTGCATGTAACTTTGCTCAGAAGTGAGTGTCCGTAACTTTGCTCAGAGATGAGTGTTCTTTGCTTCTGAGTGAGCGTTCATAACTTTTCTCAGAGATGAGTCGTTTAATTTTCAGTGAGTGCCTGTAACTTTGCACTGAGATGAGGTTCCGTTAATTCTGAGTTAGTGCCTGTAACTTTGCTCAGAGATGAGTATCCTTTACTTCTTAGTGAGTGACTTAACTTTGTTTGCAGATGTCTCCTTTACTTGGGAGTGAGTGTCCGTAACATTGCTCAGAGATGAGTCTCTTTTACTTCTGAATGAGTGCCTGTAACATTGCTCAGAGATGAGTCTCCTTTCACTTCTTAGTGAGTACCCGTAACTTTGCTCAGAGATGAGTCTCCTTTACTTCCGAATATGTACACATATTTAAGAATTTGGATTATTCTCCCTCATAAACAATATATATCATCATGTGCCTATAAAGTATATTTTTCTCTTTTTCAACATGATCAATTTCATTTCAGCTCTCGGTTCTCCAGTTAAGAAGCCCAAGTCTTCAACTGCTTCATCATCGTCCTCTAGTGGTTACTTGGGATCTTCTTCAGAACATACGGATGAATATCGATCTCTGGCTGATGATCTTCCTAAATCTTGGGAATTCACAGAAATTGGAACCAGTGAGTCATGTAGTAAATAATGAAGGATTGAGTTTGAAATTCACTTCATACCCGTTTCGACGACATCTTCAATTTGAAAAGTTCAAGTACATAAAACAAGCGTTCCGAAGTATATTTGCTTCAAATATTCAGATGTTGGAATTTTACATGTTAAATTGATCGTTCTTCGCATCATAATTTCAGCGCGAAATAATTGATTTTGAACTTCCTGAAAAAGATTTTTTTGAATAGTATTTGTCCTTTAGCTATCCTGAAGCGGAACATCAAATTCAATTTTCCTATAAACACTGTTTCAAATGGCCTGTTCGTGCATAAGTTTTCACGCAAAGTGCCTAAAGTTTAGAACAGTGGCTCCCAAACCGTGGTCAATTATGGCCCTCGTAACGATTTGATATGGCCCATCGAACTTGATAGAAATAACGGTGCTCCCGAAGTATGCGAACCAAGATGGCGGACATCGGAGGGTAACAGGTTAGGGTTAGGCGATAATTTCTTTCCAATTTTCCTTATTTTAGTCCTATTATCAGTTCGAAGACTAGCCAAGAGCCTCCCGTAGTATTTATACCTAAAATTATGGCCTAACCCTAACTTAGTACACATATTACATTCCGATGTCCGTCATCTTGGTTCGCATACTTCGAGAGCCACACATTTATTCATAGCCATTTTATTTTGGGGAATTGACAATTTGGTATTTCAATTTTACGTACCGGTAATGGCCCTTGCGGGCGCTTCCCTCTTCTGGCCCACTTTTATTTTTCTGCTTCTACTTAGATAACTACTGGTTTATAAATATGCCTTGTATTACAGGTTATCTCAGTAGTACTGATCAAGGCAGTCCAATGATGAGCCCAGAACGAGAGGAGCCGCACATTTTTGATGATATTGACGATTTCTCAATGGGGCGAACATCAACTTTTGAGAAGAGCGCAATTAGTTCGGATCTCGTTAATATATTATCGGAGCAAGCACGTCAACATCACAAATTGAAGATGAAATTACTGAAAGACAAGTTCCGGAAATCGTCGGATGCTCACAAAACGAAAATGATCATGATGGAAAAAGAGCATGAAATGAAAAAAAAGGAACATGAAAGAAAAATGGAAATCTTGATGCAGAAATACAAGTCGATCAAGGATGGAATGGAGGAATGAGTTGTTTAACCTAAGTGGGAAATGGATCGAAGTCTGTAATATTGATTTTGTATTGATTGTTTCAGTTTTGATCGATAACAAAAAACATTTTCACTTTTTTACATTGAACTTTTGATCGACATTTTCAATTCTGAATCGATGTCCTCTTAAATTGTTTCAACTGTTCAATTTCATTTGGATATCATAGTTTGTAATTGTAACATTGATTCTGATGTCTCATGGAACATTTCAATCTTGATAAAATAACTTGATTTATTTTCTGAATGTGGGCTGAAACACTGGAAGAAATTTTTTTAATCAATATTCCGATCAATATTTCCTGTTTTGAATCGATACGAGATTCAATTCCATTTAGACATCCTTTTTTGTAACATCAACTTGATGTTTGGACTGGAATATTTGAATCTCGAACCTATCTTGATTTGTTTCTGATCATGATCTGCAATATAGAAGAAGTGTTTTTAGCACCAATTTTAAATCAATATGAATTTTTATTCTGATGTTCGAATTGAAACAACTCAATCGAGAATGATTTATTTCTGGAAATGGCTTCAACACAGAACATTGAAAAGTGTTTTTAGTTTTTAGCACCAATTTTAAATCAATATGAATTTTTATTCTGATGTTCGAATTGAAACAACTCAATCGAGAATGATTTATTTCTGAAAATGGCCTTAAAATAGAACATTGGAAAAACTTTTTTAATTTTTAAAATTTTTAATTTTCGATCAAGTTTTAAATAGATTTGAATACTAAATTGAGTTGAACTTTCTGAATCCGCGGCATTTGTTTTTTATTGTTTGACACCAGTGAGGATGTGAAAAGTACACTGAAAGTGGTCTTTATGGTTTGGTTTAATCTGTGTTTTTATGCATTGATTATATTTCAAACAACGCTTATTACTAGCAGCCATTGCATTGTTGAACATAATGATGAATCATAAATGGCAAAACTGGACAAATCACTATACATTCTGCAATTCTCATGTAGGGCTGTCCAAGTGAATCGAATATTTGAAATGAAATAATTATGCAAAATATCAGCAATCGTTATCAAAAAGGGAGTTTTTATTGAACGATAGAGACAGATTTAGGATCACGCAATATTAGTCAGTTAGATTCGAATCAAAAAAATATTCGATTTTGGACAGCCCTATTCTTATGTCGAATTACTAGGGTTACTAAAACCAGAAATGATGAAACTAATCTTAAATGGATTCAATTGAAACACTTCATTCTAGAACTCACTTTTTATGTGACAATATTCTGAGTATATTCCTGGAAATCAGGCTTTATAGACGGTATGAACATCATTGTGTTTTTTTTTTATTTGAGACATTTATCACTGATACCTAAGAATAATCCACGGCATCGTGAAGTTGTTCTCAAGAATTTTTACCTCGTACAAAGCTCTTTCAAATATACTACGGTATGTTTTATTCTAGAACTTTACAACAGGTTGACTGGTATGGATAGCAATTTTTATGAGTAGTTTTGGACATTATCTCCAAACACGATTCTCTACTAGCAGCCACTGATACAAGAGGAGAACACACAGCCACTGCATTATACTATTTTTTTTTCCACAATGGTCATTTTCACCTCAAATAAGGCTCGTTACAATATACTATGTTCCATTCTAGAACTTCACAATAGCTTGATGTGATTGACTGTTTTGAATAGCCATTTTTATGAGCAGTTTTTGGACATTATCTCCGAACAAGGTTCTCTGTAAGCAGCCACTGGAAATAAGGAGATCGAACAACCACTGCATTGTTGAGATTATCATAGATTACAGGTTTCAACCGGGGATAGAGGTTCTTTTTATTTTCTTTTAGTCATTTTCATTCTTAACAAGTCTCTTTACAGGTACACAAAATGTAATGTAAATGTAACTTTTCACAAATGTGTCTGTCCAGTGTCCAGTACTTTTTTTTTGTATCTGGGTGTTTCTATGAGTAAGAAATCACGAGCTGCATTGTTCAATGTCACTTGCAGTTTGCACAAATATTCTAACTTTGTTACAAATGCCAGCTTCAATATGTGACGCTTTTTATGAATTTTGAAGAGATTGATAATTTTGTGCGTTTTGCTCTTTAAATGAGGAACATCTGATTATACTCATCGTTGTGGTTCGAGTCCCAAATATTTGATGAATGGTGCGATGTTTAGCATTTCCGCAGTTGCTACGAATTCGCTCAGAGATGGGTCTTGTTCATTTCAGAGTGAGTGTTTGTAACCTTGTCAGAGGTAATTATTCACTTTTGGTATCATTTGCCAGCTTGTGTTTTTCTCTAAAGCTTTTTTATAAGCTTATTACTTTTATGTTTTTATTTGATGTTTTTAATCGGTGTATGTTTTTATCTCTGCTAATATCTTCATAGTTTGTCCGAAATAAGAGAACAATATGGCTGCCGCAATGTAAGCACAATTCCAATCAACTATTGAAAGATATATACTGAATGCCGCATAAAGGAGATAATTATACAAAAACGCAAAATTTGGGATAAATTATTATGCACAAATTTGAGAAAAAAACAAAATTTTTAAATCAAATATTCCATATTTGCAGAAATTTTTTTTCACACAGCAACAGCAATTTAGCAAAAGGTTTCATAGGCCCACATCGTGTTTAACCAAACTTCAAATTATTAACATTATACCTGTTTCAGCCGGTTTATACCTGTTTCAGCCGGTTCTAGGTGATTTTATGTACCAGTTCATATATGAATAGCATTATTCTCCAAAGTCTCACGAATACAAATAAACTTTTTCATGTACACTACAAGATATTTCATATGTATATTAGTTTTATCAGGTTACATGTAGCTTTTAATTTGATTTTTGTAGAAATATTATAAAAAACATTCTTATTCAGTACAAAAATGAATTCTTTGAAGTAATGTCATATCTCTTTTAGACCGGTTTTATCCAGTTATGACTGGTTTTTGTGGGTTTTAACAAGAATGTGTGAATTTCCAGGATATATTCTGATATATTATTGTGTCACCATGTTATTGTAAATTCTTGTTTCAATGTTCTGAGGTTTGAAGTATTGAAGGTATTATATATATCATTGTGGGTTTCTTTATAAATGAATTCAAGCCCTTTATTAATCCTTTTCATTCGTGCCACGTCAAATTTGCCAATTGGTAATTCAGTAAATCATGGTACCAATCAGTTTCATATATGAGCGAAATGTTTTTAGTACCAGCTGCCCATGCCACGTGAAAGCAGTCTTAAATTTTTTGTTTTACGGCAATTTTGCCAAATTTTTTTGTGTGTTATTTCATTATATTTTTGATTTATTGCAAACAGCGTGTATGCAAACTCTTTGAGTTGCTTCAGAAAATTTATGGGGCTCCCGAAGTATGCGAACCAAGATGGCGGACATCGGAATGTAATATTTGTACTAGGTTAGGGTTAGGCCATAGTTTTAGGTATAAATACTACGGGATGCTCTTGGCTAGTTTTCGAACTGATAATAGGACTAAAATAAGGAAAATTGGGGAAAAAATTATGGCCTAACCCTAACCTGTTACCCATGTTACGTTCCGATGTCCGCCATCTTGGTTCGCATACTTCGGTAGCATCAAAATTCGGATCATCCACCGCAACATTGTAAAGCAGTGTTTCTCAAACTTTTTAAGCCGCGCTCCCTTTTTAGAATTTGTCAAGTCTCGCACCCCACCTCAAAAATAACCAGCTAACAATAAGCAACAAATAACAGATAGTAAGGCGAAAGTATGTTTTATTCATGAAAATCATGAATGGAACGTAAATAATAACTAAAGAAATGTAAATGTCCAAAATAAGGCGGGAAAGATCAAATCTGACAAATTTTTTATTTTCAATCAGCTTCACGCCTCCTCAAAAAATGTCTACGCCCCCTTTGTGGGCCGTGCCCCACCGTTTGAGAACCACTGTTGTAAAGGGAATTCTGCTTTTAATTACAAACAATTTGCACCGAACAATTATTTTTTGGGGCTCCCGAAGTATGCGAACCAAGATGGCGGACATCGGAATGTAATATGTGTACTAGGTTAGGGTTAGGCCATAATTTTAGGTATAAATACTACGGGAGGCTCTTGGCTAGTCTTCGAACTGATAATAGGACTAAAAAAAGGAAAATTGAAAAGAAATTATCGCCTAACCTGTTACCCATGTTACGTTCCGATGTCCGCCATCTTGGTTCGCATACTTCGGGAGCACCTATTTTTTTTTATAATTTGTACTCTGTATACAAACTCTAGTTATTTGCTGAGGCTTTATATCTATTCCCTTGCAAAATACACACCATATTTTACTTGATAACAACCATTATACTTGAAAATAGTTGTGTATTCAAACCACGATGAGCTTTATAGAAAGTCTAACTTGAAAATGGATTTTAAAGTGTGATATTATCTCTGTATTGTGATACTCTGCATTCTGAAACTCTCGTGCATAATTGGCTTGTTAATCACTTTTTCTTTCGAAGGCCTCACATTTGTGGGTGACTTTGGAAATGAAAACAAATGAAAAATTTATTTAACTTCAACATTCTTAAATATTGAAAATAACTGCTTTTCTATAGCTTTTACTCTTGCATAGGAAATGTCAAACGGGATGCCAAGATTTAAGGTTCAATATCTTAAATAAAATTTAATCTTCGGATGTCAAAATTTACTGTGGAATGAATAAAACTGATTCTGTTACTTGGATAAGAGTTTATGTTACCGGTATTTTGAAATGTATTGAATTTAGAATAGCAGAATAGAATCTTTAGAACAGTGGTTCCCAACCGGGGCCTTTAACCCCCACACAATGGGGGCCACAATGCTAGTCGCAAAACTGATTCTACTTTTTCCCTTGCAAGAAAACTTCCAGCTCTTCCTAGTTTCATTGATTGATAAGGATAGTTCACAGGGTGTTTTCACTTTGTTGAGCATGAATTGTTTGAACACAATGGGGTTTGACGTCTGCCAATCAAAATAACACTATAAATTCCACTGATGTTATAAACAGTGGGCCATAAGTGCTTAAAGCGTTTGAAACGGAGCCACGAGCCATAACGGTTGGGAATCACTGCTCTAGAATTTCAGCTTGTTGTATAGTTCTGAAATTTAGCTTATATATGAGATGGATTTGTGCCATTTTAAAATGTATTGATTCTGAAATATCAAACAGAAATTTTTTTTGGATAAAGTTGTTCATATTTATCCCATTGGTAAACAAATTCATAAAACGCTTGATTCTATTGTCAAAAACGGCCTTTTCACTGACTTATGATCATTTCTTGTCAGGTATAATAGTAGTTATCCAGTAATTTTATTCAAATACATGGACATATATAACCAATCCATGTACAGGTCTATTTACTGTTTTATTTGACTCGTATTATTGATATATTTTTGTGAGCTCAGCAGTGTATATGATTATAGCAAATCTGCTAGCTATGGAAAATCAAACAAAGAATCATGGATTCCCAAAAGCTTATAGTTTGCAATAGTATTTGGAATATTGAATATATTCCGAATTGTAACATTTTCTGCATAAATCATCGTAAATTGTTATGTATGTTATTTGGCAAAAGCAGATAGTTGAGGCAAAACCTTTTCGATTATGTCAAAACACTTTTTTTAATATTATTTTCAGATTTTAAGATGCTATAATAAAGATCAATATAACAACTGAGAATATTCTAAAATAAAGAATTTAAGATATCAAATATAACCAATTTCAAATGTATTCGGGTATTTCATTTATATTCGACATGACTGGTTAGTCAATCTCAACACAATCAAAAAAGACTTCGTTGTTGAATAAATTTTTAATCAGTTTGAAATAAATAGTAGGTCCATATACATAGATCAATCAGTACAGTTTTAATCTTTTTTGTGATCTGCTGTCCAGTGACACAATCGTAACTTTTGAATACAGTTATATCACACAGGGTGTCCAAAAAAATTCCCTTTACCATTTCAATTTTGGTATGAAGTTAGTTCTCAATATATTCTAAACGGGTTTAGTGTTTTTTAATCAGTAATTGTTCAAGTATTTCTACTTCATTCAATACATTTGTGAGGGCCAAAACAATATATGGTATTGAAAAATTTACTTTGCAATTTAAAAAAAATTAAGACTTCTATGACTTAGCGTTTTTTCATATATCGTAACTTAGCGCAGTTGGAAAGTAGTACAATGAAATAGTATTGGCGTTCAATTTTTACATTCTTATGATTATTCAAAATGAACAATCCAAATTTAAACGAAAAATTCTGTATGTGTTAGTATTCACTTACCTATCACAGGAGAATCATTTACCTTGTACAGCCAGATATGGTGATTTGCCTTCGGGCATGTTGTTAATCCTTATTGTATGTTTCTTATATCTCTGTACAGCTGATAATGTAGTGTAGCAATAAAAAAATGATACTGTCCTGATGATAATTTTTTTTATATTTCTTTTACATTCTGTTGATAGTTTCAATGGTTAATCTATTGCCTATGTTGTATTCAGCACAATTCTGATTGACAAAGAAATCTCCATAGTATTGTCATTGTCATTACTTCTAATACTGTAGACCAGTGATTCTCAACCTTTTATGACTCGTGGCCCCCTTTCGGGTGCTCCGTGGGCTCTAAGACAGGCGTGTGCAACCTTTTTTGCGGGCTGGCCAAATATCAATAACTGAGTGAAACCGCGGGCCGCACGTCATTTAACATAGGCTTTCTATTAGTTGCAGGCACAAAATAGCGCATTTTAGAAATAAATATGTTATCGGAAAGTGCCATATTTGAGGCCATGACTTTTTTAATTTTTGTCAAATAATTTTCTGTCAAATCTTATTCTAGATTAGATTTAGACCAAATCAATTGATATGCTGGAACCAAAACTCATTTAGCTTTTGTATCTATATATTATTAAATTTTTTTAAACTGCTTTCCAGTTGCCTAATCTTCAATTGCCCGTTCTTACAAATTCATTAGCGTATTCTCCGCATTTTCCTTAAATTGTTTACTGCTCAGCAAGGGACAGCTTTGTGAATCGAGTTGTTCGCCTTGCTGTTAGGACGCTGTAGGTCATAGGCATAGATAATAAATTGAACTCAGATATGAGATTTGCAACGCAAAGGAAACCAGATCCAACTAAATTTCAAAACTAGTTTAGATGGCCGCGCACCATTCAAAATTGGCACTTCTCCGCGGGCTGCACAATTTTCCATTGCGGGCCGCATGCGGCCCGCTGGCCACACTTTGCACACCCCTGCTGTTGACCAATTAGCACTATTTTTACAAAGTTAGGTTACTGATATGTAAGTGAGTTTAACTCATTTCAATCAGTCATTGTCTGCCAAGTGTAAACATGACTGGTCTTCTGTAATTTCAAATTACTGAAAAAAATTAATAAACGGTTTTTACAAATCTGTATGTGATTTCGAAAAACGGTACTTGTTGGATATTTTCAACAATGTTTATAAATATCGATCCATTAGTTGTATTGAATCCTGCTTGTAATGACATTTTCTGAAATGGCGTGGATCAGTTTTCATGTTTGACCACCCAAAATGCTTCTTGGATTTAGTAGCTGTATACAGTATACATAATTGAAACATCTAGCACTGTCATATATAATTATTTTTAGCTGTTACAATTTCTTTTTATGGTTTAAGGCAGGGCTACTCAACTGGCGGACCGCAGTCCGAGTTCGTACCTTCCGAGTATTTGATTCCGATCACATCTAATTTTCTATTTTGGATCATTAGTCTCACTTTTGAAGTTTCACTTTATAAAATGTCTTTGAATAGATATGAAAAGTACTATAACGCCATAATAAACAATTTTGATTAGCTAATAATCATTAGCCAGTCTAGAAAGCGTGCGTTTAGGGATGCCGAAATATAATTTCTGGCAATACCGGACCCAAATAAATTTGAAGTTTTGTATGCGGATCTTCGGTAAAAGTGTGAGAAAATATTTAAAATTGAATTTGGTTGCAATTTTGAACTATTCAAGTAAGAACATCTGTGTTTTACTTGTACATCGACTCTGTTTTTCATATTTGATTTATTATCGCATGTTATCACCAAGCTAGTGTTTCACACGCGTTCATCCAAAAACCATGTTCAATTTTTTTTCGAGTATGAACATGACTGTCCTCCATTTTAAGATATGGCATTGGTTACCTGATTTATATTTTCAAAATGGTTTTTGCTGTCTATCTGTTGTACTGAGGAATAGGATATTGATTTGATTTGGATCAGAAACCATGTTTCAATTACTTCCATCATGGTTAGTGGATGGAACAGCATCCCAATATTTTCACATTACTTGTATTGGAAGGAAGTTTGTAACGCAATCACATTTTCAATACAAACATGCTGTTTTAGTTCCACTGTCTGTGTGCGTTTAGAAAAAGATGTAAAAGTACTTTAAAACAAAATGCAACAATCACATAGTAGTCACATCAACTCATTCAATGGCTCTTTTTACTCTATTGTACGTGCTTTGATTATTCCATTTTGATATTGTATTTTACATGTAATCGGATTTTCTGTGACTTGTGTCAATATTTTAGATATTTTGCTAGCTTAATTTCATTTTTCTAACTATCTATGTGTGTGTTATAATTGGTGCAAATGGAAATGTCTGAGGAACTCAATTTAAATGAATCTGAAACTCTGAAAAAATTATAGGTTTTGATTTTCCGAAATATGTCCCCATCTATAATAATATTGGACCAAAATCATTTAATGTATATTAAGATTTTTATTCCGGATTTCTTTTATGATTTTCTGCGAGTAAATTTCACCATACCCTTTAAAATTACATCATAATTGTGATATAAGATTGCAGATCACTTAGCTAATTAGATTCTCACATCTTTGGTGCAAAGATTCCTCTTTTGTTTGATAAATTAGCTCCATCACACTGTTTCAATGATTTATCAACTCTTAATATTATTTCAGTGGTTGCATGTAACTTTGTAAGGATGTTATTTTTTGATTATGCCAGGGTAATCATGTGTGATGTGATTTTAAATTTTTTCCATTTCGTTCGTTCGATGTACTGTTATTGATAACTGTTTTTGCTTTTTTCGTAATAAAAGTTTTGGTAACAAATTGTTTGTGTTTGGAGATTTGTTGTTTGAATTCAAGCTGCAACTGACAAACATGATGTTATTCTGGTCTGTTGTCGGATTACAGCTGAAGCAAAAGCAAGTCTATTCTGATTATGATGCGCAGCGCGTTGTTTGACCAGTTCGCACGCTGCAAACGTAAAATTTGGTCTGCAGTAGAAAACCTGACATGGGAAAACTACTGCCCGCGGTGCAAATCCGTCCCGTTGATTCAGTATGCAATAGGCTTGTTAGATTATGATCGTAGTCTGTGTGAGTTGTATTTTAGGTTGCCACAGACCTCATGTTCATGGGGACGGTAACAAAACTACGTTTTCTTGCTCACACGATTCGACGTGCTTTTCACACCATCGCCTCGTTTGCGATCACATGTAAATTATTACGTCACACTTACATGGCCCGCCAGTCTGAGTGGGCAAACTTTTGGGCCCCTGATCCAAACCTTGCCCACCCCTGGTATGACCCAACATTTCCCAACCGTGGGGGAATTTTGATGTTCTTGGGGTGAGATTTCATTTTGTACTTTGCGTGGTTTAACACAAAGTTATTTGACACGTAGTGGACATAGCGATAGTTTTGTTGTTGGACACGTTTAGTGGACATAACGATCGTTTCAATATTATGTTGTTCTTGTCCTTGTTGTTATTTGACACAGAATGACACACCTAGTGGAAATATTAAAAAACCGCTTTTCTCTTCGAATACTGGACCAATTGCTTTGAAATTTTCAGTGGTTGAAGATAAAATTTTTCCCCAGAAGGCTATTACTTTTATTCATTTTAAATATTTCTGTTAGCTCTGTGAGATTTGCTTTGTTTGTTATGACGTCATTAAACGTTCTGTGGACATCGGACGCCATTTTGTGTCCTACTGTACTGCTTCGCTTGGTGTGAATATATTTGTAGACTGTGATCCGACGGTACGGTACACCGTACTGTACTGCGAACAGACGTGTCCATATATTTGGGCGTAGCTCTCTTGTTGTGATACATAATTCTGGTTGTATTATGAACTGTTCAATCTGTGCAAAAGCTAGAGCGCGAGTTTTGTGTAGCCTCTGCGTGAGGCTCATTAGGATTGAACAAATGAGGGAAAAAGAGATTTCATGCTTAGTGAGGGGAATAAGATTGTCCAAAATTGGCAAATGGAGGAAAAAGTCGAACTCTAAGGCCGTCATTTGAAGGCAGTCTTTTACTTCGCATTTATGTTATGACTATTTTCTCCATCGTATGATTCGACAGTGTTGGGCAAGTCCTTGAATCTCGTGTCTATAATTAAGCCGTGGTTTGCCCTATGGTTAAGCCGTCCTATCGGCTTTCTTTTCCTCCAAGATAAATATGTAAACCCTATCCTATATGCTTCGTTTTCAGTACACCTAAAAAGTGAACTGTATTTCACAGGTGACACTTCTTGACCATTTTCGCGCCAAAGATCTACTTTTTCTTGTTCAAGAATACGCGGGAACTTCACTCCTTCGATGCATTCAAGAATATTTCTTCTCTGAAGAAATGGCGAGAAATTTCTTCGTTCAGATTGTTAACGGGGTGAAGTATTTGCATGGAAAGGGAGTAGCGCATAGGTAAGCGGAGGTTGTTCGTAAGGTTACTAGAACTTGTTTGCATTAGTAAGTTATATTGGGAGTTAATATCCTAAAAGCAACATAAAGAAGCGTTTTCGACGGCAAATTGTTGCATCCCTTTTATCGAGATAAAATTGTCATATTTGTAACGAGGAATGATATACGAGCACTTATGAGATGGATTAGCTGTTTGAAACCTGTCGCTTAGCACAGCGATGTTTCACAAAATAACAAGATTTCAGTTAATAGTTTTTGGTATGGCTGTATAGTGGTTCAGACTAGATTAACCTTGGTGTCCTCTTCCATATTCGCCTAGAGATCTCAAACTTGAGAACATCATACTGGGTGAAGATGGCACAATCAAACTCTGCGACTTCGGATTGGCTTGTGAGTTTACTCCGGGTGGAAATGATGTGACGACAGGTAAATGCGGAACAGTTCACTACGCTGCACCAGAACTCAAATCAAGTCATTCGTACGCATATAGAGCTCAACCTGCAGATGTATGGAGTTTGTAAGTTTTTATTTTATTTTGATAGAAATAAATCATCATTCAATAGTGGGGTTTATACCAGTGTTCTTCAACCTTTATTATGTGGTATACATTTTACAATTTTTCAAGAACTTCGTATACCTTACGAATACCAATGTTTATTTAAGGCTTAGATAAACATTTTAAACAATAAAATTTACAAACACATATTGTACTGCAATATCATCATGGAATCTAATAGGCTAGTGTCCGCAAGTTGCAAATTTCACTGACGGCCATAGCGTCAACGGGAATATTGTTCAACGTAAATCAAACGAAGTGCATGGCAGCCGAAATCACCAACCCAGACACGTGACCGCATTGTCTTTATCAGGGTGGTTCAAACCCAGGCCCGCGGGCCACATGTGGCCCGCCGCTTCATTATCTATGACCCGCGTCAAATTCAGAGAGTAATCAAAAAATAGTATTTCGTGTTGTTTTGTAATAAAATTAATCAGAAAAATCTTCTTACACATTGTTACATCATTAATGTCACTGAATTGACTAATGTTATGGCAATGATGTGCTTGTCAGTCTAAATTATTATCTGGCTTTCTACCTTTTTGGTCGAGAATATATGCTAACAATAGAAAACTAAAAATCTAATGCGGATTCTATTAGCCTTGGATGGTTATGTCTGATAACTATGTGTTTGCACACTAAACGTGTTTGTTTTGAATTGCACTGTTTACCTATTTTTGCCACTATTGTGGCCCGCGAGCAATGCAAAAATAATTTTGTGGTCCGCGGAGCTGACAACCTTGGACCACCCTGATCTATATAATTTGTGATGTAACAATGTGCTCACGTCAGAAAACATCAATTCTCAAAACTCGCGTTTTGCGGCCTCCGGACAGACCACCTAGCTGTTACAGTCTAACTTGCCAATTACAAATTTCAGGGTACTCCCGTAGTATGTGAACCAAGATAGCGCACAACCTCAACATAGTATGTGTACCAGGTTAGGGTTATCAGGTTGTGCGCCATCTTGGTACACATACTACGGGAGCGCCAATTTCAGATCCCCACCCCCTTTGAGAATTTCAGGCTACGCCCCTGCTTTCACCCCTCGGTCGTTCCTTCTTATATATCGTTGGATATCAGTGGCCCCTCGTCTTTGGTCTTGTTCGGAGCGAAGTGATAAAAGAAACGTTATTTAAAATAACTTGGGATCTTTTGTAGAAAGCCCCCGCCACTAAATGAAAAAATGTGAGATTTGAGTAAAAACCGAAAATATAAACGTTAGTAATTGTCTGGTTCGGAATGATTTGAACATTTGAATTCCGAGCGCTCGTTATCTTATTCCTCACCCAAACTGAATAATAGCTAAGTTTCTTAATTTGAGCTTTGGAGAGGGTGTTTTTATGGGCGAGGGCTATCTGCAAAGGATTCAAAACTACATCTTCTAAGGATTCAAAACTACACACTTTTATTATATCAGTGATGGTTTCGGTTATGTGGGGTTGTTGTGGTTTTACGCAATAAACGCACCAATGAACTTAGGATTCAGACAAACGTGTTTTGACGTTTCAAAATTTATATATATTATACAATTATTTATATATTAACAACGATCTTATTCCTCCAGAGGAGCAGTGTTGTATGTTCTGTGTCATCGTCGAAAACTGAAAAACAAACGATCAAGTGAATGTATTCAACGGAAATTGGAACTTTCATCCAGACTCAGTGACGGTAAGGATGCTTTCGCGGTTTTTCAACTGTTCTTAATTCGAGAAGCGCAGTTTGGCAGTCACCGGTACATACGTTCATTTAGAACAGGGGAGTGCAACCTGCGACCCACAAGGAAAAGTTATTGTCCGGCCCGCGTAAAAGTGCCAAATTTTTATGATGTGCGGCCCGCGAAACGAGTTTTTATCTTAACTCTCTGGCAGCTTTGCTTTGCAAAGCCAACACATGAGTCCAATTTATTATCTATGCCTATGACGTTACAATGCCCTAACAGCTAGCTTGTGCAAAGCGAACAACGCCATCACCAACCAAAATTTTTGTGTCACAACTCGAATAACCTATGGCCCGTGGTTTCGCCCAGTTATTTCTATCTGGCCGTCTTGTATTACATGATGCACACTCCTGATTTAGAACATAACCCTCAAACAAATCTGTTTGACAATTTAAATTTGATCAATGACAACAACTTCAATTCAAGTACCATCTTTATAGCTAAAGCGATAAATCTGTATAGTGTAGTGTAGGCTTGCACGTAATTTACAGATTTACGGAATTACGGAATTATTTCGAGTTACGGAAGGGAAGTTACGAATTACGTAAAGTCGTAATTATTGGTCGAGCGCTTTCGCGATTGAAACGAGCTCTCTTCAAAGCAGTCAATTCGGTCGATTGTAAAAAGTGAAACTTTAAAAAGTAGAAGAAGTTAGAGCTTCGGTATTTGCAGCCGTTTTTCTCACTTTTCTCTCTCTTGCCAATACGTCACCGTGATAATTAATGTCGCGCTTATCAAACAGCAATATGACGACGGAAGAGAAATTGCGTAATGCACCAACGCAACGTCGTCTTTTCGGCATCGGTAAAGCGATTGAGACGGCAGAGAGACAACAATATGACGGGATTTCCTGCGATCCGGTAAAAATCAGCAATATGAAGATGGAAGAGAAATTGCGTAATAAGCCAACGCAACTTCGTCTTTTCGGCATCGGTAAAGCGATTGAGACGGCAGAGAGACGACAATATGACTGGATCTCCCGCGATCCGGTAAAAATCCTTTGCGGACCGTTAACGGTCCGCGGACCGGCGGCTGGGAACCACTGTTTTAGAATACTTAAATCGAATCCAGAATCCTATTCTAATTTCATAGTTACCCTATTTAAATAGTGGGATTTCTCCACCACAATGCATGAATAAAATTTATAAAAAAGCTAAATTGTAGCCTAAATGTTTAATGTATAACTATCTTTGTGCAGTATTTAATTGAAAATGTCCTGATCATTGGATTATATTTATCCAAGGCAACGAGATTTAAGAATTTCGACGATCGTTTTTTTTGTTTTTAACAGTTCAATATTCTCAATTTACCTACTATCAAATATCAAGTATGAGCCAGTGTGTTTATTCTGTGCGAGAACCATTTTCAATTACAAAACCTTGATGTTCTGATATCGGTTTTATCGTTTTATATCAGTCCGGACTTGTCCTTGCTCAATATATTTTCCACAATGCCTCGCAATATTTCGGCCAAATATGATAAAAATGTCTTTACCAAATGCGGCAACTTATTTTGATTCTTGAATACCACCGACACTCGACCAAATTTGTGTCAATCTTGGCCGATAGGATCGTCGACTTGAGTTAGAAAAATAAGTTCATTTTTTCGTGAGTGCAAAATAAATGTCACAATATGCATTTTTTTGCGATATAACTTTGTATTTTCGGAAAAGCCATGTCATATAAGTACGGTATTTAAATTATGCGCAAATAATTAATATTTGATCTAAATTTGTCGCAAATAATGTTACAATATTTAGACCGCGAAATGATTTAATGTAAAATGAAGCATGGTAATCGGAATAACGTCAATAAGTTGGCATCAATAATTATAATAAAATGCTGACTAGGTAGTAAAGTCGAATAATGTTAAAGCGGTGCAATAACAAGTCTTTGTCGCAAGGCAAGCGCAAGTATAATCAAACGAGAGAATACGCTCGTCGTGGCATTGATAAATTGGAAACCCGACATTTTTTTTAATACGATTTTAAAAAAGTCAACTATGGTTTCATAAATATCCGTATACCAGTGTCGGTAATGATAAAATTGATCGCATAAAATTGGGACGGTTAATTTGCGAAGGTGATAAAGGAAATCAAAGCTAGCACAAAAGATAAAAATCAGTATAAAATTAATTTGAATTCACTCTTGTCTTAACATCTGTCGCCGGCGTGTAGTACTGCCAGGAATATGAAAACCCAAACTCGATGTCCCAATCGAAAATGAAATGGATTCAATTGGTTGTTATAATAGGTTTAAATGTGTGAAAAAATATCGCAATTACGGGGTCATTACGTAATCGATTTGGCCGTAATTACGGAATTGATTTTTGTCAATTACGTGCAAGCCTAGTGTAGTGTTATCCAGAACACAAGAATTGCTTCGTGAAACCTATGATCGCGAAACAGATAATTGTATTCCAGGGATGTCCAAATCGAATCGATGATTCGAATACATTCGAAATTAGTCATATTCGAGTTAGTAAATGCATGAATTTGGAAGGAATTTCGAATATTTTTATGTGAAAATGTTTTTTTATGCATTTATTCTCTCATGATAGACAAAAAATTAGTTAACTTCTGACAGAATAAAATAGAAACGAGAATGTCGGTCAGAGACCGAAGTCTTATCGATCGGAAGTTAGGGGATCCCCCAAAACAGCGCTCATACTCCATAGTCACACCTTGTATCCCATCACTAATTCATTAATAACTCGCTAATTATACGACATAATTCATCCAAAATCAATAGGCTTCTGGTCCGAGATATGATGAATGGACATGCAAAATCAGGAGCAGATTCAACCACGCCTTCGTGAGATATCGCGTGCATCTAACAGACAGACAGACAGACAAATACCTATCAACATACTTACCGATTAAAATCGATAAGTAATAAAATCGATAAGTCACAATTTTAATACCAATTCCCAATTATTCTGTATAACCGGATATAATTTCTACGAATTTACAATTGTTTTGTCGAATTTTCTCTTGCGGAACAGACCCTATTTCAGAACAAATTCGAAATTTCATATTCGAAAAGATCATTTTAGAATGTATTCGAAATACAAAATTATTCGGTTTTGGCCATCCCTGATTATCTACGTGCATTAAAAACAACACAGACCCATTCATAGCGTTTTTTCAACTTAAAACAAAAATCGCTTCAAATCTTAGAAATCCAAGAGCACAAATACGCCAACAATATTTTCCATTCACTTACTAATTTATTTTTTTTAATTAGATTGTTGCGACATAATCCGTCAAATGCTACGGTGTCATCCACTGGAACGAATCACAGTGACCGAGATTCTGAATCATCCATGGATGACAATCAATCCAGATCAGGTTTTTACCTTTATTATATTTAAAGAACTTTTATTTCCCTACTTATCGCACCCTGTAATTTCGTCTTTTTTTGTGATTTCCTTCATAGCTATGCTATGTTTATTCTGGTCCCATAGTTCCTTCTACATTTTTAGATACCCCGCCAAAAGCGTAGCCGGCCCAAGTTTTTTTGGAGGAAGGGGGTATTTTTTTTGTATAACCACGTAAGACGGCGCTAACTCGTTCCTTTTGCTTCGAATAGGGCTAGATAAAGCAGCCACAAATATCTAGTAAAATCTTGAAGAATCTCTCGACAGACGAACTTCGCTGTCGGAGTTATCCAAGTCAGTTTTCAGTAAAGCGTTCAAGAATAAAGTAAAATGGTGCTGGAAAAGAGAACAGACGTAAGAATTTACGTCTCACTGCAAATGCCGCAAAATTGCATTTCACAAAAAAAAAAATGCCATGACCCTGGCTACGACTATGTACCCCGCGTCGCTTCTAGTAGCACTATAATGTTTTTGCTCCACCATTAGTTTTCTGATCTGTTTTCCTTAATTCTGTTTGTTTTGGGTCGGGATAAATTAAAAGAATAAACAGGGAAAGATGGGATAATAACCTTAACTTATCTTAAACTAAGGTTGGCGGATTCGAGAAGGACATATCTGAAAATCGTGGTGGTGGGGCTTTATCAGCATATTACCATTCCGGGATCAATAACAGTAATAATTTAACAGTTACAAACAGACAGTGGTGTCGTCAGCGAAGAAGACAGTTCAGCAAACATTCGTCGCAAATCAGACATCAAATCGAGTAAGCGTTTCTGGGCGTTGCCTTGTGCAATTCATGGAGATTCTACCAGCAATAAGACTGATATCGCCGGCGTAAAATCACGATACAATGTCAGAGCTATATCCAGTATCCATTCTATAAGGAAACTAATATCTGAACTTCCAAGGATTGACTATAAAAATATGCCACAAACTGCAGTTGGTTGCGCTCGCGATCAGTCTCAAAAAATTCAGCATGACGAAAAAATTCCAGAAAAAGTACAAACGCCCCGTATCGACCATCCCAAACCTCCCCCTGTAGAAAAGAAAGATTTCAAATTTATTAGAACTAGACCTGCCAAAGCTGTAACGAAAGCGACCCAAGATGTAGAAGCTAGAAAAGAGTCATCTGCTGTTCTCAAACGGATTATTACATCAAAATGCATTCTTCAAAGCAAGGAAGCATTACTAAAAACACATCGCTGGCGACAAAACTTACGAAAGAACACGGTGCATTCGGACCAGTTCTCCGACGTCAAACTAGAAACCATGGAATTACTGAAAAACAAAGTAGTGCCCGTCGCACAATACAATAAATCCCTTCGAATGCAGTGGTTTACTTCCAACACCTCCGCGCACAACACAACGTAAAGTAGGAAATGCGAAGGCAACATGCGACCTGGTTTGAAAAATTTCCTCCAAAACGGTCTTGCGAATGATCAAAAGCCTTTGAAATATGCATGGAAAGATATGCAATGCAACGACAAAAGCGATGAACCCGAAGGAGAAGTTCACAGAAGCGGGAAATAGTCAGAACTGGGACTCGAGAGATTTTTGAAAAACAATATCATTCTGTCTAAAAACTGAATAAGAAAATCTGAAACGATGCGCTTTAAATATGAAGAAGCAGACGACGAAAGTGTCTTTTGCGAGCAACAAAAGGATTATGACGCCACAATTTGGAGATAATAAAGAAGACGACACCCCAGCTGTTTCTGAGAAAGGACGATATCATAAAAAGATTTCAAATGGCGAACCGAAGCTGTTGTTGAAAAGAAGATTGTCGAAGATTACCAAAGAGCAGGGGAAGAACTCGAGAAATGTAAAATTTTTGTCAACATTTTTTTAGAATGTTATGAAATAAAACAGAGTTATAAGCAAGAGCGTAGCCAGCTCCGAATTGGGGGTGTAATAATGACGTAATACGACTCATAATCGTGCCTTTTGCTCTATTATTCACTATTATCTAATATCTTGAAGAATCTATGGAGTTGTTTGGTTAAGGTTCGCGAGTCGAACCATTTTATGCTGTTACTCGACTCAATTAAATGAAGTGATTTCAAATTCTTCGAGTCAAAGGTCGTGGATGTTCCACTAAGTAACGCGCATTTTGCGTTAAATTGTCTTTTATGACTCATTATCAGGTCGAGTCGGGAATAATTAAAAAGCCCATAGTCCGTCTTGCCTTATCTATTGCCAACGTGAATCTACCGAGTTCCAGTTTCATCTGTTTTTCTTTTTTATTAAATTTTTCTTGTTTCAGGAGGCAAAGTCTAGGAAACTAAGAATGGCTCCAACGCTATCAACGTCATCTGAAAGTGTCTCAGTTTACAGCAGGTGATATATGGATATTTCTTTGAGCATCGATGTCCTCGTTTATATTGGTAACAATGACCAATCAGCAATTCGTTAAAAATGACGTGACAATTAATTGCAACAGACACTTCTTTCGCTCAGACAGATATTCAAGCGTGGTTATGAAATTTGTATCATATACTGGTTTTGACTGTTAATTGTCAGTTATTAGTTTTTTTCTTAAAATTTAGTTGTAAATCAAGTAACCTAATTGGTTAAAGGCGATATGTCATTATCGCCGCGAAACTTTAAACTGAGCTTCATATATGATATTTTAGTCTCAATCTAACAGACACACTGAAGACGGATAATTCACGTGGTTCACTTTTCTCTTTTTCCACATATCCTTGTGAATTTTAAATAACAAGAAATATTGAAACCCTTTTTACTTCAGTCGATTTAAAAGACCAATCACCTCAGTTCACCAACGTTTTGGTTCTGGATCAAGCATCGCATCTTCAAGTGGGAGCAACATTCTAATTAAAGCTGCGCCGGAGGTTGGCAAAAATATTTACGCTGACTATTCAACTGATCCAGGCAACAGCAGAACTATTGCTCAGAAGCCACGAAGAATATGAATCAACAAACCCTGTTTTGCAGTTTATATTTTGAATGTATATTGTTGAAGAATTTTGTTGCACACTAACTTAATGTATTTTTGTAACGTTTCGTCTGCCAGGGTCACTTAGAATCAGGGCCTGACCATGCTTATTAGGGGCCCTAAGCACTTAAGATTTTTGTGCCCTATGTGTATAAAATAAAAATATTGAAACTGTTTTTTTCCATGTTATCTCGGTATTCACTACCAATTGAAGGTTGAGGTATGATTAATTTGATATTTTTCAGAAATAGTTCTCATGCCTAATATTAAGGCGTATAAGATGATACTTGAGAAAGAAAAAAAAATCAAAAATTTATTCTTAAGGTTTGAATCATCTGACCAACTCGAATCATTTGTAAAGCACTAAGGCACCATTGAAAAATTTGTATGTGAAAGTTTATGTGGTGCCTTAAGCGCGTACTTAGAATGGTTACCATCATTATTGCTACAGCGCCCTTGATTTCATATTAGTGCTCGTATATTAAGTTCGAAAGAATCACGGTGTATGACAGCGAAGATGAAAACTTTAACCTGAGTTGAATTACCTCCCCATAAACTACTACATCGACATAGAGAGTGTCCATAAAGACCGTTTACAATTTCAATTTTGTTATAAAGTCAGTTCTCAATATATCTCAACCAGATTTGTTGTTTTTTAATCAGTAATTGTTCAAGTATTTTTACTTCGTTTAATACATCTGTGAGGGCCAAAACAATACATGGTATCGATAAATTCCCTTTGCAATTTTAAAACATTTCAAGACTTCATTGACATCCTATATATCCACATTTTTAATAAGATAGCGAGATAAACTAACTCAAACAAATAAGTAATATGTATGTGAGGTGTATTAATTAAAGGCAAATAAAAACAATGGAAAAAAAATCACAAAATGGAAAACAAATTGGCATGTAGGAAAAATAAAATAAATTCAGAAAAGGAAATACAAAACATCTATGTGGAAAGACTTCTGTAGAATATGTTTAGTACAGGGAGCAAATACTATAGATAATAGACTTGGTTACTGGGCCGGAGGCTCAAAACTGAATATGCAAAACAATGAATAAAAACAGTTTATTTACTGAAGTTGGGCTGCTCAAGTTTATATAATAATGAGAGGCACATGGTAACAATCGGGGTCATTGTGACGTTATTTTCGTCGACATTTTCAACATAAATTGTAATAATTTCAGCAGACACAAGTGGACCGGATAATTAGTAATTGTCGGGCTACCGCATATCCATGGCCAAACAGTCCTTTGTACGATAAAAGACAAATAAAAAGTCAAATAAAAGTAAATTAAGCTCATGAAATTCTGTTTGCAAATCACTAACGATTTCTATTCAAATTATGTTCTGATATCATTAAAGATGAAGAAAATTGAAGATGGGGAATATCTTACAACTGATTAACTGGCTATTCTATTTAGGACATAAAAAAGGGCCCTATTACAACGAAAGCAATTGGAATAAATGCATCTTTTGCAGGGTGTCTATGAAGTCCTTTCACAATTTCAATTTTGTTATGAAGTTAGTACTCAATCCGTCTTAATCAGCTTTGTTGTTTTTTAATCAATAATTGTTTAAGAATTTTTATTCATTTAATACATATGTGAGGTGCAAAACAATATATGGTATCGATAAATTCCCTCACCAACACATCGCTTGTGTATGACACATGGTATTCAAAGAGATGACGCAATGCTAATACACCTAATCGATCAACATTCAAAATGTGGAATGTTGGATAGAACGGGGGTTACTATTCACCAGTTAAATCCAATGTCAATTGGAAGTTTCTGGACGCGATGGCTTAGTGGCTAGGTAGCTGAACCTGACTATGTTAACCTTAATGACTACAACCTTAAAGCAATGAAAGTGGAAAAAATGGGGAGTTTTCTTGCAAAGAGAAAAGTAAAATCAGTTTTGCGTCTAGCACTGTGCCCCCTCCAACTGCTCTGTTGTCCCCGGTTGGGAACTTCTGGATTAGAGGTTAGGTAGCTGAACCTGACTATGTTTGTGTCTCATATTATTAAAGAATCGTGCATAGCTCATGCCCATCACCTCACTCAGGTTGCTATGAATGGGGTAGAAATGCAGAGACGGGTTATTCAAAAATCAGTTACTTACGCTCTAGTGGCTGCTTGTACAAAGACCTGTTCGGAGTGACATTTTTTTCAGCTACGAATTGACTTGAACATGGTTTCGTAGGAAACGGGACTCGGGATGCTTGAGTGAGCATTTGAAATGAAAATATTGATGGCTTTAACAAAACGTTCCCGCGCAAAAAAGCAGCAACCAAACTCGTTTACACGTCTTGAACATGAATCTATCTTGTTGTCGTATGCCAAAATCCTGAATCATTTAGCTTTCTTCGTCTGACAATCGGAAGACAAGTCCTGTCGTCTGCAAATCGTTGTGATTTATTGTGACATCACACAAGGTATGTCGTCACAATGTAATGACTGAATTATCGTCTTCAGTAGTCCTCAGGGTAAGCCTCTAAAATAGAAAAGCTGTTCGGTTAACTCGAGAAGATGAAATAATACAACAAGAACCGGGTAGTCTTGCGATTATGCCCTAATTTGAATTTTTATTCACAGCACCAATTGCAATGGGTGTTTCCCCTACCGTTGACTCCTGAACAATTCCTCGTATACTATATATACTATGGCAAAAGTTTCGGATGCTTATTTTGCGAATGTTTTGGAGAGCTAGACTATCAAACTGAGTTACATGACCAAAACCGAGACTAATTTTTGATTACTGCAACTAAACCAACCAATTAAATTACTTCAATTACATTCAATTTTAAAAGACATAACTGAAATCTGACAAATTACACTAAAAACAACGAAAACGAGCCAATGTTTACAATCATGCTTGAATATCTGTCAAAGCGAACGAAGTGAAGTCTCTGGGTGACTACAAAAAATCATCGTACACTTATTGCAGATTGGTCATTGTTACAGAAATAAAAAAGAAAATCGATTCTCGAGGAAACATTCATTACGTTCTGGATTATGTCTTTCTGGGAAGAGATACCATAACTTACCATTGCACTTGTACTTCAGATGGGACCAGATAATTCTTTCCTGGCTAAAGCAAAACACACCAAGTCTTCCGCCTTTCACTGTGTTATCTATGATTGCTCCTGTGTCAGCAACTAGTTTGTTGACTTCATAGAATTTCAACCTAAGAAAAAAAAAGCATCAGAGATTATCTTACTATCAATAGGAGTTACGTTAAAGCTGACATGACAAACCACGGCCCGCGGGCAAAATCCGACCCGTTGGGTGATTCGATCTGGCCCGCCTGATCCTGCAACAACCAAACTAAAACCAAATTTTGATGTTCTAGTTGAAAAAAAATCTAGGAATTTGTTGAGTTTGCATATAAATTTATTTTTGGCACTAGGCTTATTGTTTTCCATTTTTGCTTCTGTAAATATCGTTCACAAAGGGTAACTTTTTATGTCACACTAACATGACTCGCCAGTCTAGGTGGACAAAATTTTTGGTCTCTGGTCAAAAAATCAAGCCCACCCCTGCGCTAGTCTAGGGGTCAGACTAACTCCCAGTTCTTCCTCTTTGACTTTATGGTAGTGAATGCATATAATGCAAGAATGCTTTAGCGGGAATAAACATAATCACACTATACAATTCGAGAATTCTGCTGCACAATAACACAAATGTATTACTGCATTATGTACATTTGCGTTAGTGTGCAGCAGGACTCTTGGATTTCGTAGCGGGATTATCTTGTTTGTACATTCGTTTTCCGCCCTGAACAAATGCGTATTAAGTTTAAGGTGAGCGGGTAATAAATTTGGAACTGGTTAATCGTTTATCGCTTTACTCTGAGATTTCATCCATTTTCTTTCAATGCACAATCAAGACGAATTTTTCTTCAAAAACAAGAAACAAGTAACTTCTTACCACTTGGCTGACAATATGGACTTAGATGGATTTTAAGTCTTGCGTTGATTGGTCGGTCGACCTGTTCGATGACCTTGAAGTCTTCCGATTATATTTCATGCTTATTGATTTTTTTTACTGCAATATGTACTTATATGTTATGGAATATTCGGAAATAAATAATTATCTATCTATCTACTGTCGCTCAAAGATTCTCGAAAAATTCTCTCAGAGCAAGATCACGGGCCCTCACTCAGAAGTAAATACGTTATGTTTGGTGACTAAAACGCCAATATCTACTGAAAGTACTTAAAGGTAGTACATTAACAACAAGAGAGCTATGCTCAAATATATGGACACGATACAGCAGATACTACAGTCTACAAATATATTGACACCAAGCGAAGCAGTACTGCACTAGTTTACCTTACCTTTAGCATTGCCGGTACGGTACCGGTAACCTCAAAAACTTCCGAGTTTCGAGTAGCGAGGATTTTTGGAATCGGCCGTCACGCTTGGCGGATTAAAACCCGTGTTCTCATGATTTAGGAATAAATAAAAGTAATAGCTTTCTGGCAAAAATATCAATCTTCAACCATTGAAAATTTCAAAGCAATTGATCCCCAATTCGGGGAGAAAAGCGATTTTATCATGACGAAGAAGAAAAAAAAACAACAAGAACAACAACACAGTGTTAAAACGTTATGCCCACTAATGTTTCCAATAAAGAAGAGAAAAATACACACATAGTTAGTCGCCACTGCTCTGACTTAGCAGGTTTATAGACTCTTTGTTGTACACACCTTATATACCCTGTCTCTGGCCTGTGTTTCAATTCCCATCTGTAAGCAGTCTTATCTTTCCAACCTACGTTGTTTGGATCCGACCATATTGTCCTGACCTGATTCGGTGTGTCACCAGAATGCCACAAAGCATTCCGGAGATCTGGCCCTGGACCGGTTGCAGAGTCCACTGCCTGAAAATTAAGTTTATTTGTTGAACATTGAGACTATATCGCCTTTGGATAGGATTTTTTGGATAAGAAAGGATTTACATATTTATCCCGGGGGAGAGGAAAGCCGATAAGACGGCTTATCCATATGGCGAACCACGGCCTCTCGTCCGGTTACCATTCCAAGTCGGGTATGGGATTAGTGATATTGTTTGTTTTC